TGCGAGCGGAGTGCTCATTACTCATCAAAAGAGAGTAAACACTGTGTTGTCACCCGGCGTCATAAAAATAAAAATATCATCCCTTGAATTATGAATAAAGTGAACATTAGATAAGAGCGATGCATACAATAAAGGTAGAAGCCAACGCCACGCGGTGAAGATTTTCTGGATTAATCGCAGGTGACAATCTTTTACGATACGCGCGGCAAAAAGTTGTTAAGGTAAAACAACTTTGATGTTTTGTGATTCATTCAGTTGTAATAAAAAATAATGCGTAAGGAACGACAGAAGGCATCTAAATATTAATGGAATTTGTAATGGTGTACGACATTTGGACAGGTTGCGACAAATTGTTTCAATGTTTTCAAAAATGAGGTGAATAATTAGTTGAGACGTTCCTTACGCGTCATTCTGCGTAATACGTTTAATGTTTAAAGATCGTGTCAGTTATTTTCATAATTTTATTGTAAGATGAACATTCTTCTATATCATAAATTATATTCTCAATTCATTCGGTTCTAGGATAAATACATATTTACGTATATACGTTAGGGTGGTCCTTAATATGGACATTTTCAAATTTCCTTGCTCCCAAGAGCTCAAATGGTTCCAAATTGATAAAAAACAATTCTCTGAAAGTTTTAGCTCTTAATATTATCTTTTAGATGGAGCGCAATTCAATAAAAGTTTTGTATGGAAATAGCATAACATATAAAACAAAAACAAGAACTTATTGTCTTTTTATTTATACTAATAATACGCTTTCTTTAATCTACTAATCTGTAAAAAAAAATCAAGTGCTTACTTTTAATTGTAAAGACTAACTAACAAAAATTTCTGGCTCACAAGAGTCCTGTTTCATAGCAATACCAAAAAAGAAAAATAAACGCAAAAAACGGCAACTCGGTTTTGAAAACATACATCAATAGATTGGAATATTTAAAAATGAATTACATTAAAGTTGATGATGCTACGGTTTAACGTCAATTTAGGCATCATAAAAATATAATATAAGAAATATCTATTTAATAGTCAAAAATGATTAAGTGATCAAATGAACAAAATATAAAAACTTTATAGACTATGCCATTTACATATTTTTAATGATTTTGATTCCTAACATTTATTAATAACTTTTGTTACTAATATTTTGAATTATGAACTTATATCACTTTTCAGGATCAAGCTTATTTCCTATGAAGCCAACTTTTATATTTAGATTTTTACTTCACATGTGACACTGTTATATTTTAAACAACAAATTCAAATATGTGTTAATTTGACTTAATGCAATTTAATTTTTAATATTAAATATATTATTGATATTTGAGTAAGTTTTTTTTACAACCGGATTTTTTTTCCTTTTTGAATGTGATGAGAATTTTTTTTTATACAGATAAAAATTATTACGAACACATACTGTTTTTCAAATAATTTAAATAGTTATTATCTATTATAGCAACAAAACTAATGTTATTAATTTTTCAAACTTCTTCACAATATATGAAATTCAAATTTTTCAACTATTCTTAATATAGTGCCGAAATCGTATTTAGAAAGTACACTAATTATATATAAATTTTACAATGAAAAAATAAAATTAAAATCATATTAATTCATAAGAGTTGAACAATATGTATTAATGTCTTACTCTGATATCGAAAAATTCAAGGTAATGCTTAAGTACAATTCATGTATATTTGTCAAACATTTAAATTATCAAGACAAAATCAAATCATAAATTTTAAAAATAAAAGTTAATTTTACTTCGTAAGAGTATATTCTGTATTTTATTTAATTGCAATTTAATACAAATTGTCATTACAACCTCATTTAGCTCTCTATCATGAAATTTAAAACATTAATTAATTAAATAAAGATAAAATTTAAATTTACACACAAAGGTTAGGAATGATTTAAGTAGGTACTAATAGAATATTACTGATTATATTGAAAACTATAGAAAATTTTTGCCAACAAAATTCGAATCATAAACCTTTGACATTCCAGTACTTTGACAGCAGAGTATCTAATCTTATTCCTCCGAGACAAATTCTTTTGTCATTTAAAAGTTCTCAAATAATAAAATTACATAAAAACTAGCGATATTTCTTTGTATAGGGTTTAGTGTAAAATTAATTAAAATCGTTGTTATTCATGATACTCCGAGCTCATAAAGATATAATAAGCTGAACTAGCAGCGAGTAATGAAATTCCGACGTAAACACATTTTTCTTGTTTTTATTTTCATTTGGTATATTAAACCGTAGGGCTTCGTTGGCCGTGTGCCATATAATACGTATCTTTTATAATATGTAAATGTCATCGGTCAAAAAAGCCGGGCGCCCATATAGAAAGGTACATGCAGGAGGATCTACTAGAAAGGTCAGAAACCTTTCTGCCTTTAACCGTTTTGCGGCGAATTTAACTTTAAAAGAGAACCTCGTTTGCAAATTGACAATTTAAATAAATTTCCTCTGTCGGCCAATTGCTGACCCGGCACAGTATATCGTGCTCAAGCTAGGAAATTGCTATATCAATTCATAAAGCTTATAATCGAAGCGGAGAGAGACGTCTATTAGAGTTCTTCAAATTATTTAAATACGAACATGATACCGAACAGAATTTAACTACTATAACATGTTTTTAGACCGTGTATATAACATCAATGGATGGTGATGGAAATTTAATCGCAATCATTTTTGTCCCAAGTGGCTACAATGCGATTGATTATATTGTTAAAATGCATATTATATATGGAGTGGAGAAGTGCTTACAAAAATACATAAAATAGAATTTAAATAACTATAAAAGTAAAAATTGTTTCACAACAAAATCATTTCATGCAAATCCAATCGGAGGTCATTCGTCAATTACTTGACCAAACTATTAAGTTGTGTCTGACATGTTGTGCAGTAGTCATTATTCTTATCGTTCAATAAGAATGAATATATTCGTTCTATTATAATTAGATAGAAATGCCTAGACAAAGGTTTTAGAAATTATATTTAGAATTGCATATATTAGAAATGTAGATGATCAAGATTTGACCAATCCATTCTATGAATTCTACATCTCAGGTTATGATGTAATAAATAGACGTAGATTATTACAAGTAGTATAGTCTAGCAAACTGCACTCTACGGTAATAACATGTAGATTTGAGTATTAATATAAACACAAAATAGCAATTTTA